GGCAGGCGGGATGGCGGAGGAGCAAAGGCAGGCATCTCTATATTACTCAACTCCCCCCCCCCAACACACACACACAGAGCGTCCCCGTCCCACGTCGTGACATGCCACAGCCACCAAGCGTCAAAGACTTAAGCGGGTCGGACGGAGGGCCTCTGGCTCTGGACAGGGTTCGAACACAGGCCGCAGAAAGGTCTGGGAAGGTTGCGCTTCTCCTGGGGGAGCGCCTGGCACGGGCCTCATCCTCGGCCGCTGCTGGGCTTTCCTTCCACCGTGCCATTCCCTGGGAGGGGGTCGCGTCTGGATCTTGGGGGATGAGCACAGGGTGGAAGGCTGGCGGAGGAGAGGAAGAGGCCAGAACCTCCCTGCCTCCTCCCGGCCCATCTCTGCAGACAAGCACCGCCCATACCCAGGATGCACTGCCCCCAGCCCCTCCCCGCATCAGAGAGACACCCCCCCAGCGATGTATGCATTCGTTGTATAAAAATGAAGTTTGAATGATTAATATAAACTATTTTAATACAAAACACAAGAATCTTCTTTTTTTTTTTAACTTAAAACTACATTTTCTTTCTTTTTTTTTTTTGGGGGAGAGGTTATTGCTATAGGGCGCGTGCACTCGCCAGACAGAGAGAGACAGAGAGACAGAAAGCAAGAAATCACCCCCCAGGGCGGATGGCCACGCCACAATCCCTTCTCCTCCATTCTCCTCTCGGGATCTTGGGCACGCACGCACACGCGCCTGGCGTGAGTTTTAAGCCACCAGGTTCGGGACGTGAACCGCAGTCGACTACGTGGGAGTCCAGCGACAGAGCTATGACGCTAACTGCTGGTCCCAACATTTATGTTTCTTATACGCCATATTACACACTGCCTGGAGGTAACTTTTTTAATTGCTGGAGGGCCTGTGTGCTTGTCAAAGAGAGAGAGTGAGAGAGAGAAAGAGAAGGAGAAAGCACTCCCCAGTAGGGTGTGCTTATGCTGCAGTCACACCCCCTTCATTTCCCCTCCTGTCAGGATTTTGGGGGCACACACACACACACACACACACACACACACCCCTAGTACGTTTTCCAAGCTTCCAGGCCCAGGATTCGAACCACATAGTTGGCCATGTTGGGAACCGGCTGCCTGAAGCATGAGGTTGCGGGACTGTCCTCCTGGAGGTAATGTTAGCGACTCTTTTTGTATTGCAGTCTTTGGACCGTGACCTGTCACGTGAGGTCAGGTGTGGACTTTTCCACCTGTGTCCTGTTGGCACTCAAAGAGCTTGGGAGTTTTGGACTAGGGAGGTTTGGACTGTAAAGTTTCCATAAATCTCATGCATGATTTCCTCTAAGTTTTATTTTAAAAAATTCAGGACCAGCAGTTAGCATAATGGCTATGTTGCCGAACTCCCATGTAGCCGACTGTGGTTCGAGTCCCAGACCCGGTGGCTTAAACTCACGCCGGGCACGTGTGCGTGCGTGCCCAAGATCCCGAGAGGAGAATGAAGGAGAAGGGATTGCAGCGTGGCCATAACCCCTGGGGGGTGATTTCTCACTTTCTGTCTCTCTGTCTCTCTCTGTCTGGTGAGTGCACACGCCCTATAGTGAAAAACCTTTCCCCTCCCACACACACAAAAAAATTTCTTCCATTATTGAGAGAGACAGAGACAGAGATACAGGCACCCACAACAGGGTCTTTTGTCTGCTTGCTTTTGCCGTAGGGTATGTCCACTCACCAGAGAGAGACAGAGACAGACAGTGAGAGGGAAAGTGAGAAATCACCCGCCGGAGGGTGGAGGGATGACTACATCACAGTCCCTTCTCCTCCATTCTCCTCTTAGGATTTTGGGCACACAGACACACACACCTGGTATGATTTTCAAGCCTCCAGATCTGGGACTTGAACCACGGTCTACCATGTGAGAGTCCAGTGCCCTAACCACTACACAACCTCCTGATCCTTAATTTCCCTTTTTAAAAACATATTCCACACTACATTTGTTAACAATGAAGGCCACCAAAGTCCACACTTTAGGGGGGACCGGCAGGTGGCACGGTGGTTAAGATGCTAGATACTCCCACATGGTCAACCACAGTTCGAGTCCTGGACCTGGTGACTTGCTTTCTCTCATTCTCTTTCTCTCTCTGGTCAAATTAAAATAAATGAATGAGTAAATAAAATTTAAAATAAACAATTATTCGATGCCGCAATCCTCCAGCCTCCATAGGTTTTTGCCATAGGGCGGGCGCCACCACATCCCAAAATAAACAATTATTTAAAAATAAAAATCCACACTTTAGGGACAGCCAGTGGCATGGCGGTGAAGGCTCTGGATCCTGCATGGCCGACCACATGGTTCAAGCCCCCGACCTGGCTGCTTGAAAATCGTGTGCGTCGCCGGGCGCGTGTGCGTGCGTGCCCAAGATCCCGAGAGGAGAATGGAGGAGAAGGGATTGTGGCATGGCCATCCCCCCTGGGGGGTGATTTCTCACTTTCTGTCTCTCTGTCTCTGTCTTTCTGGCGAGCACACATGCCCTACAACAAAAAACCTCTAAAAAAAAAAAAAACAAAGAAAGAAAGAAAATCGTGTGTGTGTGTGTGTGTGTGTGTGCATATGCGTGTGTGTGTGCATATGTGTGTGTGTGCCCAGAATCCTGGGAGGAGAATGGAGGAGAAGGGATTGCAGTGTGGCCATCCTCCCTAGGGGTGCGGAGATTTCTCACTTCCCACTATCTCTGTATCTCTCTCTATTGAGCTTACACTCTCTATAGCAAAAAAAGCAAACAAACAAACAAAAAAAGAAAACTAAATAAAAACTAATCAAAACTTGGTTTGTCCCAGGATCCTTCAAGGCATGTCATCATCATTTCTTAGACTTCTCTGGGCTCAGACGGTTTCTCGGCCTCTCCTTGATGAACTCGGCAGTTTCAAGGATGGCAGGTCAGGTGTTGTGTAGACTATCCCCCTCCACTGGGATTTGTCTGTTGTTTTTCTCGCGTTTAGACTGGGGGTTGGGGGGGGGAACCACAGAGGTGAAAGGCCCTTCCGATCACACGATCGCACCGAGTCAGAGGTTCACGCTGGCGGCGTGACTCAGCGCAGCTGGTGTTGACCTTCAACCCCCAGGGGATATCTGAGTCTGAAAAACTATCTTTAAAAAATAAACTAAGGGCCAGCCAGTGGCAAGGTGGTTAGGGCACTGGATCCCACATGACTGAGTGCACAGTTCAAGTCCCAGACCCGACGGCTTGACAAACACATGTGTGCGTGCATGCCCAAAATCCTGAGAGGAGAAGGGATTGCGACATGGCTGTCCCTCAAGGGGGTGATCTCTCACTTTCCCCCCCTCTTTCTGTCTCCTTCTCTCTGTGTCTCTCCCCAGCAAGTATCTACTCCCTCTAGCAAAAGTAAAAACATTAGGGACCAATAGGTGACGTAATGGTTACGTCGCTGGACTTCCACGTAGTCGACTGCAATTCGAGTCCGGGACCTGGCAGTTCGAAGCTCACGCAGGGTGTGTGTCCATGCCTGTCCAGAGTTCCGAAGAATGAGGGAAAGGGGATCTGGGAGGTGATTTCTCGCTTTCTATCTCTTTGTCTCTGTCTCTCCAGCAAGTGCACGCACTCTATAGCAAAAATCTCTCTCTCAAAAAAAAATGTTAATAAATAAATAAATTTGGGGCCTGCCCTTTAGACTTGTGGTTAATAAAGCCAGATCCCACGTGGCTGACTGGTTTGAATCCTGGTGTCGGCAGCTTGAAAAGCATACCAGGCACGTGTGTGTGTGTCCACCCCAGCTCCAACGGCATGGACACATGGAGAAGGGATTGCGGCATGACCATCCCCCTCGGGGGCGATTTCTCCCTTTCCCTCTTTGTCTCTTTGCATCTTTGTCTCCACCAAACACACTCACCCTATGGCAAAAAAAAAAAAACTTTGAAAAGGAGCTGGCAGATGGCGTGGTGGTCAAGGCACTGGACTCCCATGTGACTGACTGCAGTTCAAGTCTCAGACCTGGCAGCTTGCTTTCTCACTTTCCCTATCTGTCTCTTTGTGGTCAAATTAAATATGAATAATTGAGGGACCAGCAGTTAGCGTAATGGCTGTGTCGCTGGACTCTCACGTAGTCGACCGTGGTTCGAGTCCTGGACCCGGTGGCTTAAACTCACACCGGGCGCGTGTGCGATTTCTTGCTTTTTGTCTGTCTCTCTCTGTCTGGCTGGCAAGTGCACGCACCCTGTAGTGAAAACCTCTCAAAAAAAAAGAAGTGAATAAAAATAAAATACATCTTTTAACATTTAAATTTAATTTTAATTAAAATTGATTGAGGGTTTTCGATAACTGATGGCGGACATCGAGTCTTTGTCTTCCCATCAGGAAAATGGGTTCACATCCACCCTCTTAACCTGGGAGAATGATTTGAGGTTAGAATACAATAATGGGAACCAACTTGTAGCCTATTGCTTAAGGCAGCTAAATCCCACCTGGCCGACCACATGATTCGAGTCCTGGACCCAGCAGCTTGAAAATCACACTGGGCAAGTTGTGCCTGCCCAAAATCCTGAGAGGAGAATGGAGGAGAAGGGCGTGTGGCATAGCCATCCCCTTTGGGGAGTGACTGCCAGAGAGAGACAGAGAGACAGGAAGCGAGAAATCACCCCCCAGGGGGGATGGCCACACCGCAATCCCTTCTCCTCCATTCTCCTCTCGGGATCTTGGGCACACATGCACACGCGCCTGGCGTGAGTTTAAGCCACCGAGTCCGGGACTCAAACCGTGGTTGGCCATGTGGGAGTGTCCAGCACCTTAACTCCACGTCCCTCTCTCTCTCTCTCTCTCTCTATCTATATATATGTATTTATAAAATTCCAGAATTAGCCCTTGGTAAGTCCCCTTTTCCCAGTTACAGACGAGGAGGCCCTGCATTTTGGGAGTTGGGGGTGAGCACGGGGATTCCTCGGGGCCCGTGGAATAGCCTCACTTCCCTCTGTCATTGGGGGTGGGGCCTGGTGGGGGCTGGTAGGCTTGGTTCACCCCCAGCATGCCCCTAACCCTTTCTAGAAGACAAGTCGTTTGTAGTCTATGATCAAGGCCGGAAGTGATTCCTGAGGCTTCCTTCCTCCTGTGGAGGAGCCCTCAGACTAAGCCTGGCAGCTGTCCCCTCCTCCAGCCACAGGCCTTGCATCAGGTCCCCTTGAGGAAGGCACCGAGTCACCTCTCCGCACGGTGACCACATCTCTGGCTCCATTTCCAGATGAGGCCCACACTCTATTCAGCGTCTGACCTCAGTTTTCAACATGATTCAACGTCCGTTGCCTAATTCTTCTTTATTTAGAATTTGCCAGGGAGCGCATGTGCTTATCAGAGAGAGACAGAGAGAGACAGAGAGAGAGAGAAAGCACTCCCACAAACCTCCACTGGGCTGGGGTCATGCTGCCATCCCTTTTCCTTCATCTCTACCTCTTCTTGGGATTTTGGGTTCGCACACGCACACC